AAAGATACCAAAGATCTCTAAAAGGAAAGTTTTAAATCATTAAAGAAAGAGACTGAGGAGGACACCAGGAGACGGAAGGACCTCCCATGCTCATGGATTGGAAGAATTAATATTGTGAAATTGACCATCCTACCAAAAGCCATTTATACATTCAATGCAATGTCAATCAAAATCCCCATGACATTTTTGACAGAATTGGAAAAAAACATCCTAAGACTCATAGGGAAGCACAAAAGACCTCAGATAGCCAAAGCAACCCTGAGCACTAAGAGCAAAGCCAGGCGGATTAATATACCAGATGTTAAGCTGTATTACAGAGCTGTAGTCATAAAAACAACATGGCACTGGCACAAAAATAGATCCATATATCAATGGAACAAAATTGAGGACCCAAATAGGAGTACATGGAATTTCAGCCACCTGATATTTGACAAAGGGGCCAAGAACATTCACTGGAGGAAAGACAGCATGTTCAGCAAATGGTGCTGGCAAAACTGGATCTCCACCTGTAGAAGAATGAAACTAAACCCCTATCTTTCACCTTGCACAAAAGTCAATTCCAAATGGATCAAAGACCTCAATGTAAAGCCTGAAACTCTGAAACTGTTAGAAGAAAACATCGGGAAAAACCTACAAGATATAGGTGTAGGAAAGGATTTTCTAAACCGGACATCAATTGCTCAGGAAACAAGGGCAAGAATGAACAAATGGGACCTCATCAAACTAAAAAGCTTCTGTACATCAAAGGAGGCAACCAGGGAAGTGAAGAGAAATCCCACAGAATGGGAGAAAATCTTCACCAGTGACACATCCTACAGAGGCTTAACATCAGAATATATAATGAATTCAAAAAACAGAATCAAAACAGGAAGTAACCCAATTAAAAGCTGGGTTAAGGAGCTGAACAGAGAGTTCTCAAAAGAAGAAGTAAAGATGGCTAAGAAGCATCTTAAAAGATGTTCAACATCACTAATAATTAGGGAAATGAAAATTAAAACCACTTTAAGATTTCATCTTACCCCAGTCAGACTGACTAAGATCAAGAGAACAAATGATACCAAATGTTGGAGAGGATGTGGGGAAAGGGGAACACTCATCCACTGCTGTTGGGGCTGCAAATTTGTTCAGCCCCTATGGAAAGCAGTGTGGAAAACTCTTAAAAAACTACAAATAGAGCCTGACGTGGTGACACATGCCTGTAGTCCCAGCACTTCGGAGGCAGAGGCAGGTGGATCTCTGTGAGTTCAAGGCCAGCCTGGTCTACATAATGAGTTCCAGGACAGCTGGTGCGACAGGGAGACCCTGCTTCAAAAAGACCCCCCCAAAAAAATCTACAAATGAACCTACCATTTGATCAAGTGATACCTCTCCTTGGCATATACCCAAAGAACTTATCCTATTGCATAGACACTTGTTCATCCATGTTTGTTGCTGCTCTTTTCACAATAGCTAAGAGATGGAAGCAGCCTAAGTGTTCCTCAAACGACTAGTGGATAATGAAAATGTGGTTCCTTTATATGATGGAGTTTTACTCAGTAAAGAAAGATGAAATCATGAAATTTGCAGGTAAATGGATAGAACTAGAAATTGTTATACTAAGTAACGTAATACAGAGTC